TCCTCAAAGATCCATATGAACAATATTACCTTCAATTTTATTCTGCTTGCTACGTCTATTCTTATGACTTACGCTATTTCGACAAAAATCGCTCGTTGTTCGTCGTTCTTCTAGATTCTGGACGCCAAATACCAATTTAAAAATATCTATTCATCGGACTTCGCAAATAAAAATGCATCATTTTTCTATTTCTTCGAGTTTTGTTTTATCTTGCGTTCGCATCGCAGTCTCGCCGCAGATAGCACCGATCTCCTTCGGCGAGGAACCTGCTAACGCCGGGGACTTAGTATCGGTGCAGTGCGTTGTGACCAAAGGCGATTCTCCTCTGGAGATCACGTGGACCTTCGATGGCCATCCTATACAATCTTATCACAGCGACGTGATCGTGTCTGATACCGGAAAGCGCGTCAAACAACTGACCATCGAATCGGTAGCTGCGCGACACGCTGGAGAATATACCTGCGTTGCTTCAAACGCGGCTGGATCAATTTCTCATTCGGTCACCTTGGACGTGAATGGTACACCTTTCGACAGATCTATGCTCGCGATTCGCACTTGCATATTTAGCCATCTTTCTCATCCGAGAGTAATCCTTTCCGTCCTTTAGATATTCTTTTTCGTTTCTCTTTCTTTCTCTCTCTCTCTTTCAATCTCATTTTAATTTCTATTCCATGTTGTTATTTTTCTTTCTAAATTTCGCTACACTTCATTTCCTCGCTTTTCATATTATTCATAGCACGGCGTGTGTCTGTGTTCTCTAGAATCCGCTACTATTACTTTAGCCACCTACGTATGTTATTATTGGACGTGACATTTCTCGATTTTCTTCGTTACACATATATGTTCTCTTTATTAATTTTGTTGTCTTGATTAGCTTCGTGAAACATATAGCGTCAAAAATACAATACAAAAAGACGATGCACTCCATAATACAGATCGTAAAACAGGGGGAGCAAGAAGAAATGAAGAAACAAGTGAGAAGGATAATACGATTTCCATCTTCCGTCTTCTAAACCGCAATGTTTCATCAACGTTGATTTAATGACTGCAGCTTCGATAACTCTTTCTCTCTTCTTTTCTGATCTCTTTTTCTTTCTTCCAGTCATTCCGAAATTATTGCCATTCGTTTTCGGCGAGGCGCCACTTAACTCGGGTCAAGTAGTAACGGTACCGTGTGCAGTGATCGAGGGCGATCCACCTTTGAAGCTTCGTTGGACCTTAAACGGTCATGCGATTTCGCCGCACTCTGGGATCTCGATCGTGGATCTGGGCGGACGAGGCGCTATACTGAGCATAGGATCCGTCCAGGCGACCCATGCTGGAACGTACACATGTATCGCGGAAAACCTTGCCGGCAGGCATGAACTCTCGGCCGATCTCATAGTGAACGGTGCATACTGATCAGCAAGGATCTACTCGATATTTCGTTGAGCCTTGCGAATCCGCCTATTCCGATTCTCATCCGATTCTCCCTCCTCATCCTAGATCACTGCTTCTCCCGTAGAGACATTTTTATCGAAATCAATTTCCGCTCAAATATCCGCCGCGCTCTTATCGATCTGTATAATAAAGATTAATCGCGGCCTATTTTTGCGGACGCGAGGGTAGGCACGAGGGTAGGCTGTACAAGGATCGGGCTAATCGCGCCAGATTCCGTGCGGTATAAATCCGCCTCGATAAGCGGGAATTTATTCATTTTTGTTCGTGTGTCTTTCTCTTCCTTCTCTCTCTTTCTGTCTCGGTATATTATTGCCTATTGTCTCTAGCCTCTGTCCGTTCTCTATCTCTCGGCAGTCGCTCCACATCTGCAGCCGTTCGCGTTCGACGAGGCCAACTCCGGCGATCTGATAATCGTCCATTGCGCGGTCGTGAAGGGGGACACGCCGATTTCGCTCAAGTGGTTGTTCGAGGGCCGCCACTTAGAGGTAGGCGACGGAGTGGGTATCACCGCGTTGGGGGATAGAGTCTCGGCCCTGACGATACCCGCTGTCAGGGGAGAGCACGCCGGAGAATATGCTTGCGTCGCCGATAATCCAGCGGGCAGTGCACGGCACAGCGCCCATCTCAAAGTGAATGGTACAGAGAAAGCGTAAATCACACGATCACAAAAGCATCCAGTATAAAACAGAAAAAGATATAAAAAAAATATAAAGTATATACATATCTTTTCTTTAACATAAAGCGAAACCGCGCGGCATGATGATGGTGTTTAACGGGCGTACGCGTAGTGAGAGTACTACCGTTTTGTATGCGTGTTACTATTTGAGCGGAAAGCAGTGGTACGTTTACCTTTTTATTCGGTTGTAGATTTATATTTATATATATTTATCTAATATCTCAGTAGAACGTTTTTTCGATATTAGATTTATTACCCTTGCTGTCGCTTTCATATACGTCGTAAAATCTCCAATCTCTGTCCGCCCTGACTGTTGCGATGATATTATTACGAGATATGTGTTGTCTGGAAGTCTTGCATTGCTCGGCGCATACTCTTTCCTTCTATTTATAGAGAATTGTCTTTCTTGTAACGAGATTAAATCGTTTAACTGGTTCATATAGGCGTATATACGTAGTTTGTGCCCACGATCGTTCGAATCGAGTACAAACCGTCGATATTACGAGACGAGCCGTGTCTCCCGTTCTTTCCCGGCCCAGAACTGTCTCTCACTCTCTGTCACATTCTCTGTCACTCCGCATCCCTTCATACATCTCGATTACTCGATTACCGAAATAATACCGCATTAGTCAACTCCATGAAAAAGTTAATCTCGATCCCATATAATTAGTTTAGTACCATCAATTATTTACGCACGTATCGCGACATGCAGAGAACGACGGCGCCGAAAACAAAGAGGAAAGGCAACGCTAGTATTGAAACAGATGAGCATATTATGTACGGAAAAAGAGCGCAAACGATCGATTGATCGCAAAGAAATCCAAGAGAAGGATCGTTACGAGAGCATGGATCTACCTACCGTTCCGTTGCAGTCCTGCCACGGATCAGTCCGTTCGATTTTGGAGACCATCCGATCTTTGCCGGACAGGCCGCCCAATTGGCATGTATGGTGCCGGTCGGCGACACGCCGATCGAGATTGTCTGGACTTACGAGGGCGAATTGTTGCCGCAATACATGGGATACAACATCGGGAAACCCTCTCCACGGATTAGTACACTACTGATCGAGCCGGTAACACCGGAGCATGACGGACGTTATGCGTGTGTCGCTAGTAATCTGTCAGGCAAGACGGTCCACGAGGCAACCTTACGAGTCCACGGTTAGGTCCAGAATAAAGAACGGAGCACTGAGAATGACACGATAATGATAAATGATGGCTGAGCAAAAGTTTTGGAATGAAAATGCAGCCGTGCGCAGATCCCGCGAAAGTATTATATGAGCGCAGGCTTGTGATTGGATTGCATCTTATTCATCGTTGCTGTAAAGCTGATCGTGTGTTTTTCCCTGTTGGCGACAAGCTTTTCAGAAAATTTCAGTTGGTTCGGCGCTCGCTCTACAATTCAACTTGTACGCAGCGCGTTGCTTTCGTCGCCGTTGACGACCTTCTCGCGCGTACTCTCTTCCTTTCTCGCTCACTGTCTTGCTATTTTCTTTTCATACTCTTTCTTGCCTCTTCTTGTCTCTATCCACATTTACTTTTATCTGTTGTATCTCTTCTTTTTACTACGTATTCGTCAGTTTTTTCAAGCGAGCGAAGATCAATTTGAAGGCCTTCGTGGTCCAAAAATCAATAGCTTATGTCGAGCCGTTGGCCTTTCCTCGTTTATTTTGCCCGCCTCGTTATCTTGCTCTCATCGTCAGCCGTTCTTCTGCGACTTTTTACATTTGGCTTCGATCATCCCTGCGGCGAAATAACGCGACGCTCAGGATGTATCTTCCTTACGCGAATCTTATCGCGTTTTCTACATCCTTCACGAACGCGTTTTCCCGTAGCACAAACGAATCTAATTGCTACTTTACGATCGCAGAATTGCATAGGTCTGACACATGCGAGTTGCATATTATATTCGTCTCGTTCGAGTGTCGATTTATACCTCACCGTACCCCCATCGCGCTAAAACGCGTCCTTGTTCTAAGATGACCGACCGACCATCCAACCAGCCGCATCTCAGAATTCTCACCCCTGAATAAATTCATATCATACCCCTATCCACGAATGAATCCCCCTAACACGTTCTCTCTCCTCGCCCCCTCGCCACCTCACCACACGTCTTGACTTGTTCATTTTGTAGACGCGGATGTAGCTTAGTAGAGAGACATTTAATGCATGAATTTATACTTGAACGAACGCATAATATCGAGTACTATTTGTAAACGCGGTACAGCATGATGCACTATGTTTGACGATGAATTTAATAACGCTTCGTGCATGTTCGCTATTGAACTCTTTCAGAGCTGAATCCGTAATCTCTCTTTCTGCCCGCATCACATCTTTCTTTCTATCTTTCTCTTCATGCATTAGATACCCGTATAATCATATCAGAATCCCGCATGCTATATTATATTCTATTCATCGCAGTAGCGGGAGCGTGTCGCGTTTTGTCCTGCACGCGACAAAACTAATTTTCATAATTCGAGTTTCTCCTTGATTTTATAACAATATTAATAATATCCAAAATATAAAATTCTTAATCGACAATTTTATTAACTTTCTTTGGATAAACAAAACTTTTTGATTTCACAAATTGTAAATTTACTTGTTGGCTCTATTTATTCAATTTTATTATTAATATTTCTTATGTTATGGAATTATAAAAAATGATAATTATAAAATTATCCATTAATATATAATTATAATATTTCATTAATACTATTATAATATTATTACATGGATACTATTAGAAAATTTTTAAGATAAATAGTCTGATGAATACTTCTCAAAAGTATATGGCTCGAGTTTTCACAAGCGACTGGCTCCTGGATACTGCAAAATTCCGTGTTGCCCGATAGTACAATGCAACTAATCTATTTATTCTGTAACAGTACCTCCTCGTTGGATTCTGGAACCCACTGATAAGGCATTCGCTCAGGGATCTGATGCGCGAGTTGAATGCAAAGCCGACGGTTTCCCCAAGCCTCAAGTCACATGGAAGAGAGCTGCTGGTGAGTGCGTTTTCAGCCGCAGCTTGACAAATATATAAGACATTTCAAGCATGCATTAATCGCGTTTGTTTGATTTTACAGGGGATACGCCGGGAGATTACACTGACTTGAAATTGAGCAATCCTGATATTAGTGTGGAAGATGGCACTCTATCTATTAATAACATCCAGAAAACGAATGAAGGCTATTATCTTTGCGAGGCTGTTAACGGCATTGGATCAGGCTTGTCGGCTGTCATTCTTATTTCGGTTCAAGGTACTTTACTTTAGGTTCTCACGTTTTTTAACAACACTCAATATACTGTTTGTTTTGCATACTGTTATTTTGCATATCTTTTATCTTTCTTTAGCTCCTCCTCAATTTGAAATTAAATTAAGAAATCAGACCGCTCGTCGTGGAGAACCGGCTGTGTTGCAATGCGAGGCACAAGGAGAGAAACCAATTGGAATCTTATGGAACATGAATAACAAAAGGCTAGATACAAAGAGCGATTCTCGTTACACTATTCGCGAAGAAATCTTAGCCAATGGAGTACTGTCCGACTTGAGCATCAAACGAACCGAAAGAAGCGACTCTGCTTTGTTTACTTGCGTAGCTACGAACGCTTTTGGCAGTGATGATACTAGTATTAACATGATTGTACAAGGTTGGTTTATTTAATTATGAATAACGTGATATCAATAGATACTCGAGGAATCACTTGGATCACACTTCTATAATTTTTTATAGAGGTACCGGAAGTTGCATATGGTCTCAAGGTGTTGGATAAATCAGGACGTTCTGTGCAATTATCATGGGCCGCACCATACGATGGAAACAGTCCTATCAAGCGATATGTCATTGAATACAAGATCAGCAAGGGTTCCTGGGAAACTGATATCGATAGAGTGCTTGTACCTGGCTCGCAACAGAATGTAGCTGGAGTATATAATCTGAGGCCCGCAACTACATATCATCTTCGAATCGTCGCTGAGAATGAAATTGGCACATCTGATCCGTCCGACATGGTCACTATTATTACTGCCGAAGAAGCACCTACTGGTCCGCCAACCTCTGTCAAAGTGGACGCTCTCGATCAACATACACTCAAGGTAACGATCAGTATGTCTTGTGAATGCTTCAGAATGTGTAACGACAATAACAAATATTTATTACAATAAATATTTCGTCAGGTAACATGGAAACCACCTCCACGTGAAGATTGGAATGGTGAAATTCTTGGCTATTACGTTGGATACAGACAATCGGCGGACAAGCCATATATGTTTGAGACTGTCGAATTCTCCAAGGAAGACGGAAAGGAACATCATCATCTGCAGATCGTTAATCTCAAGACTTATACGCAATACGGCGTCGTCGTTCAGGCATTCAACAAGGTTGGTTCCGGACCGATGAGCGAAGAACGCAGACAACACACCGCAGAAGGCGTACCCGAACAACCGCCGCACGACACCACCTGCACGACTCTTACCTCTCAGACTATCAGAGTATCCTGGATGTCACCACCTCTCAGCGCGGCTAATGGTGTTATCACCGGCTACAAAGTGAGTGAAGCTGCGATTTTAGAAGAATAGATATTTAGCAGCGGCGTCTTTAAATATTTGTTTCAGGTTATTTATGGCCCGTCCGACACATGGTATGATGAAAATACAAAGGACACCAAGATCACTTCTTCCAGCGAAACCATTCTGCATGGCCTCAAGAAGTACACGAACTACAGTATGCAAGTTTTGGCTTTTACTTCCGGCGGAGATGGAGTCAAGTCCGCACCGATTCACTGCCAGACCGAACAAGATGGTAATTTTAAAAACTATTCAACGTATGCAAAGGCATATTTCGAGAATATATTATTTAAATTTAAAAATATAATAGCAATCATGCAATAATTTTCACATTTTTTTATATCGACTATTATTTTTTTTATTTTATATCGATTTTTATTTACAACTTTGCTGCTTTTATGATACTAAAAAAATTTGTAATAATTATTTTCTTTCTAAATAAAATTAATATTCTTAAATATTTTTTTTAAATCAATATTCTTCAATTTTCTCAGCACCCGAAGCTCCAATTGCTATCAAAGCTCTGGTCATGTCCGCGGAATCTATTCTTATCTCATGGCGACCACCTAGCCAGCCTAACGGAGTTATTTCTCAATATACCGTTTACACGAAAGCTGATAATGCCGAGGAACCAACCAGCCAAAAAGTACCGCCGAATCAACTTACTCACGAAGCATCTGGACTAGATAAACAACTCAGATATGAATTTTGGGTAACTGCTAGCACAAATATCGGCGAAGGAGAAGCTTCTAAGATTGTGACTCTGGCTCCAAGTGTTCGAGGTAAATTCTTACTTCCAATTTCTTAAATTTTTATTTAATTTGCTTGAAATATTCGCATTTTAGTTTAATCAAATTAAATTTAATTTAAAAAATAATTATAATCTTTTACAGTTGATCATTAATTTAAAAATATTTCTAATTATTATATTTATTTTTACAGTACCGGCTAAAATTGCATCGTTCGACGACAAATTCACTGCAATATACAAGGAAGACGTAAAGCTGCCATGTCTCACTGTTGGTGTACCTGCACCGGAAGTAACATGGAAAGTACGAGGCGCGACTCTTCAGCCAAGCGACCGATTGAGACAATTGCCCGAAGGTTCATTGTTTATCAAGGAAGTCGACCGCGCGGACACCGGCGAATATTCTTGCTATGTGGAAAACTCTTTTGGACACGACACTGTAACTCATCAATTGGTCGTACATGGTAAGTGAAAAAAATATTTCGAAAATTTATTGTTAATTTTATTTGTTAATTTTAATTTTGTCGATTATATTGAGATTAATATTACGTTCGCAGCTCCTCCGCACTCGCCGCAGGTCACACTTACCGCCACCACTACAAATTCTTTGACAATGAAATTACGTCCACATCCGACTGACAATGCACCGATTCACGGCTATACAATTCACTACAAACCCGAGTTTGGCGAGTGGGAAACTGTTCAAATCAGTTCGACGGCACAAAAATATACTCTTGAAAACTTGTTGTGCGGTTCTCGATATCAGATCTACGTCACGGCTTATAATGGGTAACCTTATCATCATAACTGTAAATTAACAAGTAGGCGATGAGAAATTTTATACAATAACAATGACAATGAAAATTAATTTATATAGAATTGGAATTGGTGATCCTTCGGATATTCTAAACACGCGCACGAAAGGCTCCAAACCGATCATTCCTGAAGCGGCAAGATTTATCGAAGTGTCCACGAACAGCATCACTCTGCACTTAAGCGCCTGGTCGGACGGTGGCTGTCCCATGTTATACTTTGTCGTTGAACACAAAAAGAAGTAAGATAAAAAATAAAAAGTAAGGTAAAAAGATAATAAATTCTCAAATTTATATGTATAATTTAATCGAAATCGATAGTTAAAAGTGCATGTTTCTTCAGGCATCAACAGGAATGGAATCAGGTCTCCAACAATGTCAAGATTGGCGGTAACTTCGTAGTATTGGATCTGGATCCCGCTAGCTGGTATCATTTACGTGTTACTGCTCACAATAATGCTGGTTTCGCCGTGGCCGAGTATGAATTCGCGACATTGACGGTGACTGGCGGTGAGTATGAGTTTGTTCGCAGCGGCGCTTCGTAGCCGGTGCCAATGGTGGCTGGATTAAAGCCGAAACATTTTTTGTTCCAGGCACCATTGCACCGGCCCGCGAGATACCGGACGTGAACGGTGGTGGCAATGACGAGGACCCGATGAAAATTTTCATGGCTAATTTAAATCTGGTCGTGCCGGTGGTAGCAGCCATTCTCGTTATAATCGTTGCCGTCATCGTGATCTGCGTACTCAGGGGGAAGGGCCACGGTAGCGATAAAGGTAATGGCATTTGCCTAATCTTTTTCTCTATTTGTCTTCTCGAACAGGCACGATCGCACCTCCCGTACGTAACGGCGGTAACGACAACGCTGCGGATGTAAGACGTTATTTCCCATGGTTACCCAGCTGGCTCGACGTAAACGTGGTGGTGCCGGTCGGCGCGACGGTCGTTGTCATAATAGTAGGAATAGTTGTCATTTGCGTGGCCCTCTCGAGGAGAACTCGAGGTCCGGAACAAACGCGGCTGCGAGGTATCTCTTCAGCCGACGAGAAATATTACGAGGGACAATGTATACAAATTTTTTTTTATTACTTTTACCTATTAAGTCGCATAAAGACGGTGGAGATTCATCGGGAAATTAAATTGCGCTAATAATTTTTCGAGCGTAATTAAATGCAACACACACATTATATATACAGATATTATAACATAATGTATTATTTTGTAATATTATCATAATAATTTCCCGACGATTGATCCACGCGTCGGCCACCCTGTCTTGCAGTCTCCTCGAAATATCCCGCTCTCTTAATTTTCCTCCTCCTTTTGTTTCACAAGCGTGGGTGATGGCATAATCAATGTAATCTATATTAAAAATAATAACATTAAAAATATTATATTAGACATAAGTGCGTTCATATTTACCAGATCACTGTATTCACTATATTATAGATGACGTAGTCTATCAACAAACCGGTGTTGGCGGCGCAACTCTAGACAAACGCAGATCCGATCTTCGTGACGAACTTGGATATATCGCGCCACCGAATCGCAAGCTGCCGCCTGTACCTGGTTCCAACTACAACACATGTGATCGTATCAAGCGAGGTACAGTTATAAGTAAGCCACAACTGCCAACACTTACCTTTTAGACCAGTTTCGACTACTACTTGTGTAGTTGTTGTCGCATCGGCACGATAGTTCCTTCTTTCATCTTTTCTCAAGAAATACATTTTTTACATATATTATACATCGTTAGGCTCCCGACCAGTGTCACACAGTCCTCAAACAGAAGTTTTACACACGACCATTGCCAGTTTCTTTTTCGTTCGCCTCTTGCTTCGAAATGTTATATACGTTCTTATATACGTTATGTCGAGATGTATATGTCCCTCCAGCGAAAATAACATTCGTTTCTATTTGTTTGCGCTTATTACGCCGTTGGTGCCTAACGAGTGTCGACTGCACCGATTCGTACATATTAATCGTGCCTTTAAAAAAGAGAGAAAAAAGGAATGCCCTCCCCAGAATCTCTAGTCCTCCGAAGAGAACAGAGTTGGCAGGAATGAATCTTGATAGGCGCCAGCGTGTCGTACGACCTTTGTAGTATGTGTTCGATAGGTGGAACTGGCTCGTTAAGGAGTCACTCGACGTGGGATCCGAGACGACACATGTATGAGGAATTGAGTCGCTACGCGCCCAACAGAAGATGCCCGCCGCCACCACGTATGGGCAGCGCAGACGGTCTCTCGCATAGAGGTTGGTAAAAGAGTATTTTTGATTAACGGGGGCGTCCGGCATTCGTCCGATCGCCCTACGAGATCGATAATCGCAGGCCGGAGCCGGCGACGTTGCTGGCGGTCTTCGTAAGTCCCTCCTCAAGAACCCCGTGTCACTTTAACAACACATTTCTCGATGTTGCACGTTTTCGCATGCCTGCGTTCATAGCACGCCGACAAATGACACGAATCACATAAAGAAAAATTACATTTATTTACACTCATTGTTTTTGAGACATAAAGTTAGGATAAAAATGTCTCTGCCCGTTATCGTCATATCGATTTCAGATTTCTAGGATACATAAAAAATATCTAATATTTTTAAATATTTAGATTTTATTCAGAGATTTGATTCATTGTTTATATATAAAGTTTAGGTAATAAATAGATGAAATTACGTTGATTAATTAATTAAAAAGAATAATATTGTTTTATATAAAATAGAAATTGCGCGATTAATTGATAAGGCGACCGGGCGTCAATTGAAATAAATCTATTTAAATATATTTTAATACGCATGAGGAATTATTGAAGATTTAATAATTTAACGTAGAATGAGAATCGAGGAAAGAAGAAACGTAAAAGTGAGTAAAAAATATTTTTTGCTCGTTTAAATCTGAATAGAAGTAGCACGTAAAATCAATAGAGGAAAAGATTGCTTACAATTTTCTCAGTTCTATTGTCAATCGAGTCAAAGCTCAATAAAATTGTCATAATGGACTTTACACATGAGAAGCAATCTTTAAAAGCAATCTTTATCGTTCGACCAATCATGTTTCATAGATTTTTCACTCATAGCGGCAGAGTCTACCCTGGTTGATTACCCATTTGCAGGTATGGAGGATGAGATCTGCCCGTACGCTACCTTCCATCTTTTGGGATTCCGTGAGGAAATGGACCCGAGCAAGGCTATGCAATTCCAGACCTTCCCTCATCCAGGAAATGGCCATTCTGGCACCATGGGACCACCTGTAGGACATCCGACTAATGCTTCTGCTCACAGCCGTTCTGGATCTCAATCTATGGTATTTTATATCTTTTATATATATTTAATTAAACAATATAAGCAAATTCTTGATCATTTTATTTTTCAAGAATAATTTATTTTATAAATTAAATTCTTTCTATGGAGCAATTATTGCTAAAATTGCTAATTTTTTTCATAGCCGCGTCAAAATGGCCGTTACTCACGCGTACCATCCCAAGGAGGCGGCAGCGGCACTCATAATGTCTTCTCGCCCGAATACGACGATCCGGCTAATTGCGCTCCCGAGGAAGACCAGTATGGATCTCAGTACGGACAATATGGCGCACCTTATGATCATTACGGATCTCGCGGATCAGTCGGACGTCGTAGCGTAGGCTCAGCTCGCAATATTCCTATGTCCGGCTCACCGGAACCGCCTCCACCGCCACCGAGAAACCATCAGGACCAGAACAATTCCAGCTTCAACGACAGCAAGGAGAGCAATGAGATCAGCGAGGCCGAATGTGATCGTGACCAGCTTGTCAACCGCAATTACGGCGGTCAGTAGAAAGATTCGCGGGATAGATCGGAGAACGAGTAGAACGAGAGAGATCATGAAGCTGGGATTCGATGCCATCCAATGGGGAAGTCGAAGGGTTCGTCTTTCCTGTTCGGGTCTTATTTGATCCGGCGACATGCTCCCTCTTGAGAAACAATCTCACTCCGATTCAGCCCTACTACTGATGCTCGTTTTCATATGCACTAGGCATTATTAGGCGTACGACGGCTCGCATTATGCGGATCGTATCGCATGGCGAGCGAGTCGTGAATGGAGAAGACTCGCCGCGTGGACTATATGTGTTTTTCTCTATTTTTTTTTATCCTAATCATTTATATAGCTTTCACGAATTGCATGCTACGTGTTGTCGTAGTAGTTTAATCGTTGTGTCAATCGTGCCGTGTGTTTTTCTATTTCAGTGAATGCACGCGGCAAGGACGGCATGACCACCGAGGAGATGCGTAAACTCATAGAGAGGTCAGTAGAGCGCAAGTGAGCTTGTTAACGGTGTGAACAATTTAATGACGATTTCACCGTTCCTGCTGCTGTGTCTCGAGCGATTTCATTATCACGCGAGAGCAGCAACAGCAATGTATTAACGATATATTATTGCGACAAAGTACGACGCGATTTGTTTTCCGAATTGAGCGCTGTTTCACTGTCGCTCGCTGCGGCTTCGACCGCTATCCGATTCATCTCTATGCGTTCTTCTTTATAGGATTACGCTACCGATCCTTTTAATCCTCGACGTATACCTTTATTCGGATACTCGAGATTATTCGCACGCGATTGAATTAACGATTGCGCGATGGTTCACTAGCGACTTTCGAAGAGACCCTCGAAAATCTCATTATTTAACTATTTAACATACATCTGATCTTTTCTTGTTTCATGACTAATTACGCAGGAAGCCGTAAGTTCGTTAAACATAATCAAATCAGGGTGTACAAACGTTAAAGATATGTGAAGAGCTTTTGAGATGCGTCATACTATTTTCCGCTGATTTTCATCATCCCATCGAAATTCGGCTATCTCATTTGTTTTGCGGCGAGCAGAGTAGACGACCCTTCAAAACGTTGCTTACGTTGGACATGTTTCCAATCGAGAACGCTTACTAATATAACGCTTACTAATATATAATGTATTTGCATGTAGCTTTGAATAGTGCTATGTGTAACGTATAGCTGCGTAACTAATTCGAAAGTAAAATGCGGTAGAGATTATACATAAATTTTGAATGCTAAACATATTCTCCACTGCAGTTAATAACTTGCAATAGCTTGCTATTATCACCGCTATTAAATCCGCTTCATGAGTTGCTAATGTTATTAACGACTGATATGCGTCTTTCTACGATTGTCATTTTTACATTTTATTTATTCACAGCATAATTAATATCGCTGCTCTTGTTATGACGCATGTTTTCGTCGTAATTAATCCGTATTATAGATTTCTCATATTAATTTCTACATTTCTATTAATTTCACTTGCAAAATAGGAGTTGCTAATATTTAAAGCAAAGGTTGCTTCTGTCTTTCTAATGTTAAAAATAAGTGTATTAAAATTAGGAAAAAGATATTTGCACGCGAGAATGTTGTTGAAGTTGCGTAGAGAGAATCGACGTGGTCGGATATCAAAAATGCAAATTCCTGTTGCAGAAACGAAGCTCCCGGCCGGCAAACCGGCAGCCCCCACGGCGGTCACGGGGGACTCCTCACACCCTACGATACTGTGGCAGTGTAACCTGTAAATCATCATCTTCCGTGATCTTCCGCTTCTCTCGATAGCCGGCGGCCACGAGGAAAGTAGCCGAGAGACGCGGAAATGAAGCGCACGCTAATTCTTCCCCCGGTGCTGTCGTCGGTCCAATTTGCAACGATTTACGATAGAAATTAGACGTCGTCGCGAGTAGATAGATTCGATTACCACGTAAGGTATACGCATGTTGATATCATCTCGAGATCGTGACTACCGACAAAGATCTGCGCGGTCCGTCTTGCGAAATAAGATTGCCTCCTTCGCCCCTAACACGACCAAATTACGCGACTTCTCCTTTTTCTCTCGCAAACACTTGTCGGCCTTCCATCTTTCCCTTGTACTTCCTCGAGTACGTTCGTTTACAATTGATCTTTGGGGAAGGCCAACTTTGAAACTGCCTTGTTTTTGATACAATTTTTCGAACCAATTCAGTCGATTACGCACATCTAGGAAGGCCAGATTCAAGACTGTCTATATCTACTGCCCTATCGCGAAGGAGGCGCAGCGATTCATGAAGTCACTCATGCTTCGTTCGCAAGTCTTGCGAGTCCTGAAACTCTTTGTACACGTTCAATTATGTCGACTAAAACCTTTTTATACTGCTTGACAGAGATAAAAGGCAAAATTTGCGTTTAGACACGAATGATACTCAATGAGATGTGATATAAGCTTATCAATTAACTTATTAATTATCTTTGCCTATTTTGTATGAAATATTTTTATTATAAAAAAAGACGAATTTTTCTCCGCACTATCGTCGAACGTGTACGCGAGATGAGGTTTGAGGCTCGCAGCTGTCGCTGTGAGGCAGTCCTGTAGGAAAGCGAACACACAACCGGAAGTCGCGTGTTCGCGGGCGCTCAACTGCGGCAGAGACGCGACCCGGATGATGGTGCTCTCGGCGACGGTGGATTTTACGGGGGTCTTCTGATATACTAGAACTGTGAATTAATTTTGAGGGATGGAGTATGTTCACCGTAAGTTTCCAACAGCACTCGATGACTTTCAGCAGCACTTTTCTTTGAATTAAACAGAAAAAGTAAAACTTCCCGCAAATGGTGTTTTGTTGGCTCGTAATTCGACATCTTTGAAGCTGAGAAAAAATATGTTGTTTACACTTCAGCAAAATGACACATAATAAAAAGTAAAGCCTAATGACAGAGCTTTGACATGAATATAGTTACAGAAGTGTCCGATGCGATATAGCATAAATTATCATCTATTGTAAATCCCTCAAAATTAATTCACAGTCCTAGTATATCCGGGGTATAATTCTAGATTACAATCGTCGCAGGAGTTGCGTATAATGGGAAGAAAAACGTATATATGATATACACATACACACATACACACACATATACATATGAGATTAGTTGGTCGCTTTTTGAGTCATGGTTGTGCCACACTGCCGCTCTCTGAGAGCGTACGAGATATATAGACATACATACGTACATATATTATATACATATACTGTATGATTTATAATTTCGTAACGAAGGTTGTGTCCCCTCCCCCTTTGTCCCTTTGACGATCGGCAATCTTGAGTCTCGACGTCGCGGAGAGCAAGGTTTATGGAGTACGTCGTCACTTCTCGTCTTTCGTCATTATCGTCGTCATTGTCCTCTTTAGCGATTCATTTAGACGAACGAGACATTCTTATCGTTCAAAGGATAAGATTCCGTATAGAAAACGCCGATCGACTGTCCGTAGGAAGAACAATGCGGCAAGCCATCGAGGGAACGCTTCGATAAACAGCAGGCCAGCCACGTATAAATTAAACATATTATACATTAACAACATTATCCTCACATACACGCGCTGGTGCGTGCACGCAATACACGTCACACCACACTTGCTGTCGTCCTATATATGATATAAATATTTAGTCCGCTGTAAACATCTAATTAATCCCACCCCCGTGCTAATCTTCTTCGATTGATTACGACGTACTGATAAGATTCATTCTGATATCGCGACGATGATCGTTAATTAACAAATATAAGCGATTCGAGTAATATAAAAGCTGATTTAACGTAGATAGCTCGTAAGCCGGACAGATGGTCGCGAGAAGGCGTCGTTGTATCTTTGCGACGAAGCGAGAGATCGGGATGGATCGTTTTCTTAAACGCGATCGACCGCGATCGAGCGGTTGATCTTCGTTGGATCTTGGGCGAACAAACGGAACGGATGCTTTCCGGAGCATCTTTAGGTTGTGCATCCCCCCGACATCCCGCGACGTCGCGATCACGACGTCGTGTCTCATAGTTCGTTTTTATCACGATACTATTTCTAGATATACATACAAATATAAATATATATTATATATACGCTAACTATATATTATACATACGTTGTAAGTAGATATTTCTAGGTGTCGCATTTGTTTGTCGAGACGATGTACGAGCCGGCTCCCAGTTGGGCGACTGGGCGAAGGAGCATCCTCGACAGACGTGTCTATTACAGTAGGAGTGTTACATCTTTAGTATATTTAATTCGGACCATTTGGAACAAACTTTTAGCATTTATGTATATCTCGCTATTATTTTAGCATTAACTCAATTTTCATTCAATTTATTAGATTTATTTTAATTGAAAGGAATTAGGGAATTTCTGTATGTATTAAACAACACGACAAGAAAACTAGCGATTAAGAGCGGATGGTAATGCTTAAAAATTTTTTAATTTTACGCGAAAATTTAAAGGAGAAATTTAATCTCCCAACGCATTTCAATATTAATTCAATGTTGTAATTAGTATATTCTATCATTGTTATCATTTCATTACTTGTCATATCGTTTTTTACTTACATAAATGCGATTAAAAGTAAAAACACACGGAGAATTTCCGCATGAAATTTTAAGGGGTGCTTCGTCTTCATAAGTCGCTTTTGCTTTCGCAGAGGAATTCCTACCCTCTGCTTGTCTTAAACTGGTCGCGGCTCGACACGCCGACGCACTTTTACTCATCGATGTGATTTTAAAAGGCTGCGCAAAAGCCTCGTGTCTCGTGTATATGTTACGATCGCGCTCTTACCGTAATTAACGTAGCCATATCGTCCCAAGTCACCCTTTATGACTTATATAGTATCACGTTCTACTCACTTAACTCGCCCCCGCGAAAAACTTTGTCGCTTCGAATCGCTTCCGAATTTAACCAGAGCTAACACATCGGCGTAGACCGATAATGATAATGATATTATGCATTCGTATATAGTGATGTGATCACGTCCGCGCGCTATTTCGGTCGCGGCTCATCGTTTTGTCTTATTAAGCGAAGTGGACGTCCGCGACGTCGCACAGGTGATAACGTTATGTTAAGCGGTCCAGGGTGCTTGGCAAGAAGTGTTGCGAAATGAAACATTTAGCGAACAGTGAGTTCAATTGAATTTCGGCTAAACATTGATTTCTTTTCCAGCTGGAAACATTGATAACGAGAATAACGTACAACTTAAAGACTGAAAATTTACGTCCACATATTGCTTTATTCACTTTTTGCTCGCATGATTGCTTTATATTTCTACGCACAATCTAGCATCTAGTATATTAAAATTGTAAAATTACATTTGCCATTTATATCAGCTCTTCTTGCTAAGCACTCTCGAGCCCATCGTTCGCTCGTCGCGTAATCGACGTATATTGTGTGGTAATTTTTTGCAAGATTCGATGTTACTTTTTGAGAGACGCTGCGAAGCGTGTCGCTCGCTTGTGTATGCTTGATTGATATATGCGTTGAAAGCATTTGGCTGTTCTTTTAGTACGACGGCGAACGCGGTTCTTCGAGCTCGTACCCTTCTCATTGTCGCCTGTCAGACTCGAAGCGTTTCCTTTGCGTTCCTTGGTTTTCTTTATCCTTGCACCCGTGAAAAAGAAACGCGGGATCGCGACGTATTGTCTAATAAAAAAAAGCAAAGAAGAAAACGCGCGCAACATCATCCCCCGCGTTTGCGGAGAGACTCGAGGACCCGCTCGCAGTGTATCGTTTCCTCTCAATGCCACTATTTTATGTTTTTGTACCAAAGTTGTAGCGTCTAACTTTGCGTTAAATAAATAAATCTTAAAACGGTCGCTGATTTTTCTCTCTACAGCTCCGTCGAATTCTCTCTGATTTTTGAATTTTACTTGCGCATAAACAAGAATATTTTACGTATACATTGATTTTGTGTGATATGCGCATATATTAATTCAATTCATTTTCTTTACATCACTTTGATGTATTATATATCAATCATAGGAACATTAATAATTGCGAGTTTTTAATTTAATCATTGAAATATAATTTTGTGTGATTTATGTTCTATTAAAATATATTATAGATTTATAGTGTAATATTGAAATAAATTTTAATATATTACAAATGATATAATATTACAATGAAAATTAATCACAATTTAGGCAAAGATTACTGCTACGGCAAAGGCGTTCTTTGCAAATAAAGATTTAAGAAAATAAATTAAACTTAAAACTTTAGTAGTTAATATTCATGTTTATAATATATTAGCATATTAACATGTACAATTTCGTGTTCGCAAACGTTTCGTCCTATTCCAGGACCTTTTCAATGCTGGTAGTTAAGATTAAAGACAAAATTCCATAAAAAAGTAAAAATTTTTTAAAAATAAATTCGATATAATATTAATATACATATCTGATTATGTTATTATGATTTAGTTGTGCGAGACATTAAGTATATAATTATCATATAATTATATTAAAAGTTTAATGAATTATGTAATAATTAAAAATATTTATACAGATGAAAAACAATGTTAAAGAAGGCATAATGATATCTAGTTTATTGATTTTATAATAATATATATGCGTATATATTAATTTAATTTATTTTTTATACGTTAATTTAATGTGTTATCATATTAATCATTAATAATTGCGATTAAAATTTAAAATCTAAAATTTATCAATTGAAATATATAATTCTGATTTATAATATATTATAATATAATAATAATATATTTAAATTAGTAATAATAATTAGTAATAGTAATAATAATAATTATTAATATATTTTAATAGATTTTATATATATATATATATATATATATATATATATATATGATACTTATATTATTAATATAATATACGTATAGTTTATTACATCATTAATTATTTAATTACAAAATATTAAATAGATAATTATTACATTGAAAGCTTAATAATAAATTATGTAAAAGTGTTAAAAACATAGAGAGGAAAAAGAATCGTAAATAGGGAGAGATAAGATCCAGCTGATTCATTGTTAGGTTCATTGAACTCACCCTGGGGGTTTTTAAAATGATTTATCTGCAGTACAGGTCTCTGACCTACCTTATCGATGGTGCGCTTTACCGTGAAGTTAGCAAAGGATTATCGCGGCGCAGTAGTTCAATGTCGGTTGGCAGTGACGGTTGTTTATACGATGGCGTCCGGCGGTGGTACGTGTCCGTTTATTTCCCATTTCCGTGTAATCTTCAGGCCTGTTTAATGACCGGACTCTCTTATTAACGTAGTCATTATTCATTTTTTGTTTCTTTCATGTAACAACAGAGAACGGAACCGAAGAACGAACGGAAGCATCGACGCCGGCTCAACCCATCGCCAATGCCGTATCCGAGACGACTCACGTAAGTAAATTCATATAATTTCAGCTCGTCGAGCAGCGATATCTCATCTGAGAAATTATCATGAGTCTGTTAAATAAACACGAAAACGCGCGCGCTTTCGGCGCGAAAGTAAGGTTAGGTTAGCTTGGCTTGTGTGATATCATCATTCTTTATTATCTGGTATCTGTTAACTGACAGTAACCTTGCATTATATTCTTATAAATACAAAACATGTGTTTTTGAATATATCCAACTGTATAAATTAAATCGGTATTTCAAACTTGTAACTTATGTAAGTGTAAGTGTATTTAATCTAATTACATTAATACATCGGAGTTAACTAATAAATTAAATTTTACTTAAATTTACTTGTATATATTGCTTTCTCGATAATATTGTGATTGAGGAATCATTAAGTTAATCAGTTGAAATTATCAGAACAATCAACTTAGAGTTATTTATACAATGGCTTACAAGGTAGTATTTCTGTGAATATTGCTGATTGACTTATAAATTTTATCTTTCTATTTACAGAAAGTAATAGGAATGGATAAAGATGGTGATATGTCTGGTGTACCAGCAAAGAAATCTCGTGTCGAAGTGCAATCTCTTCCAACCAGACAATATTTGGATCAGACAGTAGTACCGATATTGCTACAAGCATTATCCTGTTTAGCCAAAGAGAGACCTGCTGATCCTATAAGCTTCCTCGCTGGCTATTTACTTAGAAACAAGAGTCAGTACGATAATGGCGGTTCGCCGCCGACTAGTCAGTGAATGCTTCCCTGTCCATGTGCGCATTTCGTGGTAATATATGAACTTTACTTCCTAAAAATCTCTTTTTGATACTTCAAGCACATATTTACGTTATAAACGTATTATGTACTTGCGTATTTTTGAACGAAATAAAAATGAATTAGCTCCCTATTGTAGGGACAGTAGTGACTTTTTAGAGGAGTAATACAGCGTTATTCTGTGGAATACAAAATATACGTTTTTTAAATATTGAAATTATTTTAAATAAATATTGGTTTTTTGTATAAAAATAATAGCAACATCAGAATTATCCTAATTGCAATAGCAGTTACAGAATTGATATTAAATCGTTATTGACTTGTAATATGTATTAAAAAAAGTTGCTACTTTTTCTATGCAAACACATAGATAAAATATAATTAAGAAACATGATAATGTGGCTTTTATGAAAGAATATTTTAAAAATATATTAAAAAAGCGTGTAGACTCTGATTTTCAATTCTTTGCAAATTTACGGCGCGAAAGCGAACAAAAGAAAGGAGCGGAGAAAAGGGCTGCTGCCATCGATCCAATAAATCGTAATGAACCTTCCCTGCTCGTGTCGATTTTAATTGGAACGGCGATTTAATTGGAGGCAATTAAATGTAATCGCGCAATGAATCGGCGTTAAATTTATCTCGCGCTCCAATAAAATCGATAATTTACATCGGACGTGCAACACTCGCGTGCGTTGCAAATAGAGAAAGGGAAAAAGGATGTCTAGACACATACAAACACACACAGCGTTCAGTTTTATTATTCCTCGTGTCTTATTTCACCTCTTCCTGCGGTTTTCGTCTCGACGAAACTCGTCGGTTGGTCTTACAGAGTCTCGCCGGAGTAATTGGGCTCCCTTCGGGGCATCGGCGAGGCACAAGGAAAAGAAAATCCGTGTAGTGGCGTCCGATTGTACCGCACGAGCTCTAAATGACGACGCGAGAAGATATCGGGGTAATTTCGTGACCGACAATTCGCACAGCGACATCATCGGACCTAGTCCAATTAACGGCGAGCTATCCTCTTGCTCGAGTTCTCCTCGTATATCCTCTCGTAGAATCCTCGACCCTTACCCGTACACACGTACATTGATCGCGAACTCTTAGTCTTTTGTTTTGTACCCGTTCGACTGGGAGGGTCGACACGTTTCTGTCGTGATAAGATAAAGGCACTAAGCAGTATTTTTACCAAACTTGAGTTTCTCGTGCAAAGTACTTTACCAGTAATTTGTTCGTCTTAGGAACGTGGAGGCCGTCTCTGGAAAACAGTATCAGATGTTGTAATGAAATAAGAAATAAAGCGTTTACTATTCATCATTTATCTAATAATTTAAAAAAACTGATATTATTTTACAATAACTCCATATTGTGCATATGTGTGGCTGATAAATTGCATTTTTAAAACGTCGTAGGAATTTAAATTTTACTAGATGATGAATGGTACATTTTAATATTTTACATACGTGCACGTTGTTGAACGACACAATAATACCGGTTCTGTTTCTTTTTTTCTGTGTATTTAGAGTGAACTTTCACATTCATCACTCATTTCTGCAACGGATCACGAATAAATGCGCAAAAGTGGAAAGTCCACACTCGCGGCACAATACAGAAGAATTCGATGCAATTGTTGATGATGCAGCAACATCCACCTTTATCTTTTTTTACTTCCCTGCGAGAAGCACGCAATAATTTCCACGTCGAGTTGCTTCCATCTCCTCTCCACATTCCTGTTTGCTGTGCTTTTCCAACTCCAGAACTATGTAAGTAGCTTTATGCAATGCTAGAATATGAATATACAGAGTATATCTCGAACCAAGCGTTTTTTTTTTTCTTTCATGGATATAATGTAGAGTTAAATGATATTTAGATTTTAAAATGGACCATTTTTAAACAGTTATATAAAGTAATTTGATTTAAGATTAATGTTAATTTTTTATTTTATTTAAAAGAGTCCTATTAAATGTACTGCATTTTAATTTAATTTTATAAATTTTATACTTTTTTATCTTTATATTATATTTATTACCATTTTTCAAAAATTATATAAATATAAATTCTTTTTTGATTGCCATATCCATAGTAAGGAAAAAAATCGTATGTTTGAACAGAGATACTCTGCTTTATGGATTGCAATCATAATTTTTCCAAGTTTAACGCTGCAGACGTAATGAAAAATGACAATTGAATGACGTATGGTTACCCCTTTATATATATCTGCGAAATTGAATCCATATCGAAAATTGAACTCGCCGAAATTGTACCGGTTTCAATATTCGCTCTCAGGTCCAGATATCTCGGATATGAATATCTGCGTATTCTCTGTTCCATCCCTTCATTATTCTCGTGCGAGTCGCATGCTCGATCCGCGCGCAATAATCACGCCGAAGGCCGGATCAGCGAAGTATTTCCTAGTTGTACTAACAGTGACCGTGATCATGTCGCGTGTCGAATGTGCAAATCGAAAGGTAGACGGATAGGTAGATCTCCCGAGCGTGTCCTCTCCAGAGGCACCCTTATTGCGGTTTACGTGCACATATGCGCGATACGCAGGGACGAGCGTGCTGCACGCGTGTGTACACATGCGTGCACGTCCAAAGAGGAAGAGAGAGAGAGCCTACGGATAATTGTGGGCCCTAGCTAATGGCCGAGCCGTGTCACGATTTTCGCCAGGGCGTGCAGGTTTCGGAACCCTGCAGATTCACGCCTGCACGCCCGCACTTGGGACGACTCGGTCCAATTGGCACGCATATTGGAATTCTATTACCGGGATTACGGCCGGTAATTGCTCGGTTTAGCGCAATATCGCACGGCCGTCTGTCCGCGTCGCCGATGCTCCGGGTAGGTCCAGCGCGCGCGGATTAGCCGCGCGCCTAATCGCTGCCCGCGCGCGCACGTGATTCCTCGTTACGACCGGCGATTAATTGCTGGTGGACGCCGAAAACGTTAATCCCTTCCTGCCTCCCTCTCCTGCCTACCGTGTTGCATTATCTTTTCAAACAGCGGCTTTGATAATAAATCGCGTTATTTATCGAAATATTGCCAACTTTGAATGTCATTATTATACAAGCGTGAATATAAATATTGCAAAAATACATACGAGATATTTTTAATTTTTATTATGTCTCTCGCGAAAAAAATTTCATTATTCCCTCGATCTTTCTTTTGCGTTAAAATTTCCCTACGAAACTGCTTTTATAGGACGATGTCCAAGATTTTCTTTTAAGGAGAATTGGAGTTAATGAATTAATAAGCAGTAGCAATTAGTATAACTATAGCTATGTGTATGTATTTGCTTTTCTCCCTTTCTCTCTCTCTCTTTCTCTCTCTCTCGGCGTTCGATTTCGGTTTGCGTTTCAAATGCGCAGCTTGAGAGCTCAGTGATTCGATGTTTACGATGTACGTCCTTTGTGGATCACAGTTAGGGAATCGCAACTCACTAAGACGGATCGGGACGGCTTTTGAAAGCCAAGATTGATTAATTAATGCAGCAGAATAATGCTGATAATTAAATAATGCCAATCCCTATTATTTACGTGTGGGAATCAAAGGATCGTAAAATCCGCGATTAGAGCGTTGATAGGTAGAAATTATCCTTTGTCGTCCTTTCTAGAAATAGAATTTATAGATTATATGTGAATCAAATACGAATATGAAGTATTTATATGCAGAGACATAATTTCCAGCTAAATAAATTTTGCAACTTTGATATTTTAAAATAAATTTTATAGAGAAAAGAGAATTTTATATTTTAAAGACTTAATTGTTACAAAAGTATAGAATTTGGTATTATTTTTTTCTGTAGATAGCATAAAACTACATATAGATTCAACATTACATTTTTAATGAATACGATGACAAGTAATATTGTATATAATACAATAAAAATTACATAATACAATATATTATGTAATATAGTAAAAATTATCAGAGAAATGAGCATTTAGTGTTTATATTGTAATGTTCTTTACAGTTTAATATAATTATATCAATTTTTTTTGAGAAATCGATTTGTAGAATGATTTTTTGTCAGCCCACAAGATAGAAACGACAGTGAACAAAATTGCTGACGTTTCTGATCGGCCAGTAAGAATACAATTCTTAAGAAGCGCGACGGGATTTTTAGAGATTCTCTTCACTGATGCGGCACAGGATTATATAAAATGTTTCTACATAACTGAGAAGTCCGCCGCAGCTCTTCGCTTTGCCGAGGTGTCGGGAAAAAAGCGCTTACCCGGCAGATTCGTGCTGGCTAAAACCCTCCTTTCTCTCGTATTTTTTTGCCGCTTGAGTTTTATCTGATAACGGCAAAAATATTTTTCGGTCTCGCCCGTGGAAGGTGATACACGATCTTTTGTTGTCACAGCAAAAAACCGAAGCAATAAATACCGATATGAATTCCGGGCTTCTATATATTTTTACGATTAACTGCATTTCGGATTTCGAACCTCAGCTATTGCACGAGCAAGTTTGCACACTCATGCGTAAGAATTTATAAAATATTAACATGTCTAAGTCTTTCATTTAGGAAAGCAATATTTTACGTAATTTCTGCAATGCGTGTAATTGTAAAAAAACGTTGATCAGCGTTGTTCATAAATTGCAGTTTGAATATTTTGATATTAATTTGCAAAAAAGTAACATCCTCTCTACGAGAAATATTTCGAATAATTATTGGAGTTTTCTGCATTAAAGCGTTTCATGTTAAAAATGGAACTGTGATCTATGAATTGTAAATGTTTGAATATTCAAATGGTTTCAAAATTTAAATTTATTTTGCAAATGCGTTTTGCTTCGACAAAGAAGGCAAAACGCTTCTGCTCTCCTCGATTCAATACGAGTCGGCGCTTTTGAACTAGTTAATCCGCGAAGTGGTATTATTTCCGACGAGATAGCCACGCTTCGGGCAGGGTCACTACGTTATCGGGCAACGCGCGCAGTCAACAATCGCGACTTTTCGCGGGGACGCGTCGGCAAAACTTAAATATTTGTCGGAGATTATATTCATACTCTCTCCGGATTCGTGGGTCGACTTTTTAATCAGTTTGTCGACGTTCTTGCCCGCGCGTTCTCTCCGTTCCACCGAATTATCCCGCGGGCCTGCCACAGATTTTCATTTCAGATCTGGCTGCGGTATTTTCTCTGAGAAGAGAAAATAAAAGCTCTTCTGTTCCTCATCTCTCTTCTTTCATTCCTCTCTCTTTCTTTCTTCATTTCAATCTGTTTGACGATCTGCCTCTCTTACCGTGGATGTTCTAGCGGCGATGGCGTCTCTGTCCGAAGACAACGAGACAAGATCCAGAGCAAAGTGATGTACGTTATCAGGTCGCGGCATCGCTCGAGCATTCTAACTTCATCTTATTCCTTCCTCTCCGGGTGTCCAGGTCGAGTCCTTCAGATTTGTTGGTACCCTCCTTGAAAAACTCCTCAAAGATCGTCAAGTAATTGCAGGAATCAGTCATGTTATCTCTTTGTCAGACGATGTTCTGTCGGAAGATCTCCGCGATATTGATCTCTAATTTTCTGCGGGCGATATCAGGCCGCCGTCTTATTTCTCCGATTTATTCTTGTATCTATTTTATAGGAAATTTGTGATACATGACACTTCGATTTAATATTATATTTTTTGACATAAATATATATATATATATATATATATATATATAACAAAATATATTAATGAAACATGATCTCTTATATAAAAAAACATGTCAAATATTTTTTTTAGGAAGAACATAAAAAT